TTCCCCTTGTTTTCCTCCCCAAAAGCTAGGTGCGTTTTATACTTTGGAGCGTCTTATAATCTGAAAAATATGGTACTTCACTATGCATTCCACAATTTTTTTTTCTTTCACTGCTTCTTTGATTATTCCCCTCACTTGGATAAGATCTGATTCCCTTCTGGACTCCACAGATGCTGATCTAGATACTATGACCCAAGGCAGTGGTTCTCAACCTGTGGTCTGTAGGCTCCTGACGGTCCACAATGTCATCACTGAGGGTCCCGCGAAGGCTTGGAGAAATGTTATGAGTTAAATCTTGGCGGTCTATGGCCACAAAAGATATTTAAAGGGGCTCCATGGTGAAGGAAAAGGTTCAGAACCACTGATCTAAGATATACATTCAACCTCACATTCTCTATTATAGTTTTCTATCTCCAAACATTGTGGAGAATTTGGCTGTCTTCATTCCCCTATTCAACTTTTAATAGTTCCCCCAACTTCTATATATTTTTCAGAAACAAACATGACTATGTGCCCTTTCCCAGCAAGTATCTTGTTTATATTCCACATTGAAGGCTTCAGCAAAATAATTACATTGTGACTATCTTAATAACAAGATTGTGGATACTATTTAATGTTAAGTCCAGTATCACAGCTTCGACTAGCTATTCCAATCATTTAGGGTTTCTAGAAATTAGATTTCTCATGCCTAAAACAAGATTTTAAAGTCAAAGTGAGAATGACTGAAGTCTAGTACTATTGTAGTGAAACCTTGATTTAAGAGACAATTTGGGGGAGGTGTTAGTTGCAGTTAAAGGATCTGTTAAATATGAAAGTATATTGTTGTGGCAATTTATATCATTTGCGTAAGGATGTTAGTAAGAATATCATGTAAATCATCATAGATGCTGTGTTAATTGCCTCGAGATTACTTTAGACCCAGCTGACATCCATTATTCTGAGGCACCAGTGTCAAACTTGCTGCGTCATGTGACATTTCGTGATGTTTTCCCCTTGGCGGAGCTGGGGTGGGTGTGGCCTGTACGTGATACATCTGGCCCACAGGCCGCCAGTTTAACACCCCTGTTCTAAGGCCTGTCTCTGATCTGCTGCATCTATCAAAGTAAATTAGTCTGTTAAATCAGTTTCTGTTTCTTTTGCCTCTCTAATTTCGTTTTTCATCTACAGTTCAGTTTTAGTTTCCTGGTTCAAGAGGATAGGAGCGATAGCATACTCCTATTAACTTGCTTTTTACACAGATAGGGAATCTTCTGTTGTTCGATAGAAAAGTCTGTCTCATTTATGTCTTCTAAACTTTATGGAATTCCATGACTTCGACACACAAGGCAACTGTGTTGCCAGTATACCCTTCCTGAATGTATAGCTAGATAATTGTACTCTGTTATGCATCAAAACTTAAACTGTTCTTTTGTGGCTTAGAGATTTCTAGCATATACAAATAAGCACATATGCAGACTCGAATTTTCTATGCCATACAACTTTACCCTTGTGATTTTCTTGATGGATTATATTTATTTCCTACCTATTCTCCCCTAAGCAGACATAAAGGTTTGCACTCAGGAGTGTTTTTTTTTCCCAAAGCAGATGTACTTCCCTTCTTGTCAGGTTCCAATCCCCTGAGAATCAGTCTATATAGAAACAATGTATGAATAGCAGGACCAGTCTTCTGCCAAACTAAGTCATTAGATCACAACAGATTACTTGTCAAGTAAAAGCCAACAATGTCAATCACTGGATTCTTGTGTCATCATATTCTAGGTGAGCTCTCTCTCTCTCTCTCTCTCTCCACACACACACACACACACAGAGTGAGTTTGCAGAGTCCATCAATGAAATCAAAAAACAAACTCCAATGTTCTTGTTAGTATTTAAGCAAGTGCTAGTTAAGGAAGGGAACCAACTAGGCTTTGGGTGGCTGGAACTTAAGATACTGATTTATTGGGTGACCATGGGCATAACTAATTTACAGAATTATCATGAAAATAAAGTGGAAAAGAAAGGTGGACATGAAAGCTACTGTATCATGCCTTGAAAAAAAACAACAGGTTTATCTAATTTCATGTACATATTTTAAATATACACAATATTTTTGTCTGACTTTTTAAAAAAAGATTTGTGACCTCCACTTAATAGTAACTGAAAGAAAAACAAGATTTAAATTTATAACCTAATGTCTGTTCTATTATTTTGTTTTCATTGAAGAAATGTATCTTATTATAAAATATTTTGTAATAAAAGAATTTTTTTGGTATCATTCACATTTGACGTAATTCAGATGCTCCCTATTAGTAGTATCTTGAAAGATAGCATTCTAAAACAGCTATTGTGACATCACTGCTATTGATCAATAGACTATACCTTTGGACAAATCGCAAAAGAAGTTGCTTTGTTACTTATCTGGGACAATTTAACAAATAATCTAATGCTTCTTATTGTTATACATATATGACAAATTTATAATAAACTAATACCATTGTTTAAATTATGATTATACATCAAATTACCTAATAAGCACAATATAAATCTTACCAACCATATTTTCCCTCTAAGGTTTGGCTGCTGGATTTTGAAACAAAATTTTGAGCTAGGTTAAATAATTTTTAAGTAATGAAATCGTTTAAAAAGTTGATCATCAAGGGGAACTAATCCAACAATTTCCTTTATGCAAAAATATGAAATGAATCTCTCCCACAGTTCTCCACATACAATTATTATGAGTATGAAGAATTAAGCTTAACTTACTTTAAATCTTCCAACTCTCTTGTCACCATTCCTTCAACTTCTTTACATTATCTGACAGTGATATTACTTCTGTTTCCACAATATAAACACCATGGCTCCTATTATAAATTCTGGAGGATTTTCACATTTTGACTCAGTTTGACAAATTATCAGATCCCTCCATCACTAATGGGTGTGTGTGTGTGAGTATAGGAGGGATGGAGTTAAAGTTTTTCCTAGGATCACATGGCTGCTCTCCATAGCCGCAGTAGGAAAAGACATTTGATTTGGTTAGCAGTGCTCCTGTGTACTCCCAAAACACATTTTTCTCTTTGAATCTAAAACTTTGCAAAGTCCTAATTATTCTCCTCCTCTTAGTTTATGGAGCTTATAAAATCTGCAAGCAATAATTATCCTAGGCTTCCAATGCTTCAGAAGAAAATTTTGCACTTCCTCAAAATGATCAAATATAACATAATGCAGGAATAGTCAAACCTATACTGCAAGAGGTATAAAGTCTAGAGGTATACTATGGCTAAACTGGATATCCAAATAAGGATCTGCATTTATGATTTGGTTTACATATATGAGTATTTTAATGAGAAAGTTATGGTTTGTATCTTTCAATTTTTGTTTTCACCATCCTTAATTTGGAAAATCTCAAACAACCTATTTCCAAGCCTATGTCACATTTTTCATAAAATGAAAACATTAACAATTTCATATTAAAAATCTGTTTTACCAAACATAATTACTATTTAAGGTATCCTTTTTCAGGCCAGTTTTTATATTTCATTTAATATTTTCAGAATGAAAAGAGAAATTATTTAGCATTAATAAATCAGTAAGACAAAACATTCATCACCTTAATATTTACTATGATTAACTTATATGTGCACTCTAATCCCAAGGCCTACCTAGACATAAGGAAGTAGGAGTACTAGTCAAAAGATTTTCTAGAATCTTCCCAAAAGAGAGCTTTCAGTAGTATTTAGATGTTTGTTAAGACTCCCTTAAACCCAACATTAGGAATTAACCTCAAGGCCAAAGTCAATTGAAAATAAGCAATCCTTACCTTAAAATACCAAAGCCCACTCTTATCCCAAGGCATCACTTTCTGCCTATTTTTCAAGATATCTTCTGTCATACAAGATGATCCCTGATGCATGAATAAAGATCACTTTGAGTGGCTTGTTCTAAAATCCAACATTAAGGTAGTGGGCAATGCCCCACAAATGCCACCCATAACATATCTGTTTAATGAATCTCATGTGTTGTTTCTCCGCCCCCCTCCCCCCAATTTCACACTGAAGAATGAAAACTGGTAATATAGTGTTTTGCCTGGGGGGGGGGGGGGACTGCTCAAAACCTAGATATCAAAAATTCCCACAAACTCAAACAACTATATAGATTTATCCATAGGCTTTTGGAGGGATACTTTTTGGCTCTGTGATATAGCTTCAGATAATGAATCTTTCCTCTGCACCCACCACCCCTTCAGTTCCACATCCAGATTATTTGCACAAGGTGCAAGTGTCACTTTGGGGGGGGAAAAATATCTTTTTCCTCTCCCCAACCAGGCCGATTTTAACAATAGCAAGCAAGAGATAATTACTGACCTCACTTTCAGGTAAGCTACACACTTCAAACGTCAAGGGAGGGAGGGAATTCCTATTGAGGTTAACTGCAACCTCCCATGTAGGCAAACCCTGAACTCCAGTTGACAGGCCCTTTTCTCTTTCTCTCTCTCTCTTTCCAGCGTGGAGACACACAGAAGCCCTCCGATCAGGCTCAAGAGAGGAGGGCAACCGGCTCCGAAATCACCCTAGAGACACCCCCGGTATCCGATCCCGGAATCTCTTTGGGCTGCGACAAAACAAGATCCCGAAGCCTGGCCCAGGGATTCAACATGCAAACGCCAAAGGGAAGTCCGTCTCTTTCCCACCCCCGCAACGTCAAAGGGTGAGGCACGTTTTCCCTCCCCTCGCCCCCTCCCCAAAGCCCATCCTTGCCTGGACGAGGGGCGCTTCTCCGCTCTCCTTGCAGGGAAAAGCCTTCCAAGGGAAGGGCCACCCCAGGTCGGCGAGGATCACCCCAACCGAAGGAAACCCACCCCCACCCCGCGCCTTCAGGTCTTTTTCCCCGGGGAAGGGTCCCCTGCCCGCTTCTTCTCTCCCGCCGCCCTCAACCGCGAAAAGACCCCGTGTAGCCCTGCCCCACGCAAGGCACGCCCTCCTCTTCACGCTAGCCAGCCAGCCCAGCTGAATCCGACCACTCACCGGGTAGGAGTTCCTCCCGCCCGCCGGTCCCTCCTCCCTTCCCTCTACACAGGCCGGGGCTGCAGGGCGAAGCCCAAGATCCCCTAAAGAGGGGATGATGCGGAGGTAGCAGCTCCGTGCCTTCGGAGGGGAGGGAGTGGGAAACAGGCAGCAAAGGGCGGCTCTGGCAGGCGGCGGCGGCGGCGGCGGCGGCCCAGACCGGGCAGACCACCAACCCCCCCAACTCCGTCGGTGATAACAATAGGACTGCCGGCGCAGCGTCGCCTTTTATAGGGAGGTGGCCACGTGACGGAGCGCGCCCCGCCTCTCCCGCCCCCCCCCGTACGCAGCGCGGCAGCGCTCGCGCGGCAGCATGGGAAACGTAGTCGCCCTCAGAAGGGCGGTGCTTGAGCAATAGAACGTTCCGGGGGTAGGTGGGCTGGGCTGTGGGTGACAGTTTGTCCAGGTAACGGCGGCATCTGAGGTGAGGTTGAAAAGAACCACGTAGCGCTTGGAACCCTGGGAAATGGAACCCATCGGCTTCTTCCAGCGCTTGCTAAAATTAGGTTCCAGAATGCAACCTGGCTTTTCGCTAGTTTTCGCTAAAAGTATTCCTTTAAAAAAAAAAAAAAATAACGGCGAACAAGCCTGGCGATAAAAAAAAATCTGGAGGGGTTACCAGCCTATAACTTCAAGTTGCCATCTTATTCTGAGTGAGTCTAATTTTTAAAACAAGATAATCTTGTATTCCAGATACTGGAGGAGCACTTTTTCCAGGACTGCTTGAGGTTAGGATGTTTGTGGGTGTGAAGAGTGCTATTTTATCACACTCTGCAGTTGTGACACATCTGCAGAGCTTGTGGGGCAGTTTCTTTTTGGACTAACAAAAGCAAAAACCCAGAAAATAAAAACGTGAATGTCGGATAGGATTTGGATGAGAAACATTATACCAAGTAAACAACTGCAGGGCTGTTTCAGGATTTAATAGCTCCACTATGCTAATTATATGTGCCTGTAATTGTAGTCTTAATTTAAAAACAAGTTTAGTTAACTTGATTTTGATTTTCAGTGATAATTGATTCAGTCACTGTGCTGCAACTACTGTATTTAGAAGGATCAGACTTTGACAGGATCAGATAAGAATCTGAGCAGAAAATGTAGATACCATATGCATAAGCCTACAAAAAATGTGTGAGAGAGACGGAGAAAGTGAGAGAGATCAATTTTGTTATAAAACTAGATGAAATAACATAATTTAATAATCAAAGGCACACTGATTGTACTGTTTAAAAAATAAAATCAAAATTGTCATTGTGAAAATAGAACAAGCTATAAAATTGTACTGATTCTTTATAAAATATGCAAAGTTCTAGACCTCCAAGATGTTCTCCAAATTAATAAAAAAAAATCAGAAGGCTGTATTGAACCATGAAGTCTGTCTTTAGAGTCATTCTCAAGCCATTCATTGCAACATGACACTTGGGTGATGATAAAGTTACAGTCATTTAAACACAGGTTGGATTTATATGTTACAGTGAACCAAGTTTTATTTTGTCAAGCCATATTGCCCTGATTATACTCTTGATCTGATTACATTTTCATTGTATGCAGTCAGTGCCCAGATCTTAAATACTGCAACATTTTTGCTCACCACTGGATGGAGTGGCAAGAAAGGAAAATACATTTGGGGAAGCATGCCTACTGGCAAATTGAGCAAGTAAAAAATTCAGCCCTATCTATTTAATAGAACAGATACTTGAAGGAGAAATACCATAGTCAATTTCCATATGGTAGGAAAGATCCATTGTGGACTTAATAATCTGAGTCACAAATTGCTTTTACTTTGTAAACCAACTCTTTTGTACATTACCAGCAATGGTGGGGTTCAAATAATGTAACAACCAGTTCTCTGCCCTAATGATTTCTTCCAACAACCAGTTCACCAAACTGCTCAGAAAGTTAACAACCGGTTCTCCTGAAGTGATGTGAACTGGCTGAATTCCACCACTGATTACCAGACTGTAGGATAAAATTAATCCAACAATGTGCATATGTACTTAAATGTGACATAGATATTAAATCCAAATTCATGATAGGCTTAGTATTAAATAGCTTAGGCTAGATGACAAAGTAAACCACAGTCTGTTTCCTTTTTTCTTTTTAAAATCATGCCCCTTGTATATTTATCTTATTTATTAAATTTATATGCCACCCATTTCACCTTGAGGCAACTCTAGGTGGCTTACAACCAATAAAAACAACAGGATAAAATATTAAAACAATAAATATTAACACTAAAATTGACTTAAGAATTAAGAAAGATGGCAAGGAAGCAAGCAAGATGCACATGGAGAGGAGGCGGGATCTTATTTCAGTCCATTAACCATTTCCAGTATAACATGCTTGCATTAGGGGCCCAACTCTTCAGGCTCTTTTGGATGGCCAAAATTCTTTGAAAATTACAAAAAGAATGAAACCAAAGGCATAACAATAAACTAACAAATAGGAAAACTCAGACCTTCAGAGTTATCTATCATAAACACCATTATGCAGGAATATAAGTGTTCCCACCATGCAAAGAGTCTGTTAAATAAGTTTATTTTTAATGAACCAAAGCAAATCCTCCATAGTAGGATTTGGTTTGTATCCCTATTTATTATTGTCAGCATTCTCAGCATAATTTTTGTAATTTCTACTATGTATATTAAATTGATTCAGCCCAAGAGTTTAGATGTGGATACATTAAGAATCTCTCTGGGAAAAAAGTCAGAAATTAACTTTCAGAAGATTGTCAAAAAGTTTAGAAGCAGGAATATGCATCTTCAATTCAATTCAAACCTTTATTGTCGATGCACAACGTGTACAATGAGATTGGCTGAGCCTCCCTTAGTGCACCCCCTAGACACAATACATCTCATTAACACACAGTGAAAGAAAGAAAATCCCTAACCCAGTAAATCATACTAACAAACACACAATCCTCTATACATATATGTATATAACATAACATAATATTATATTGCACCAGTGTGAACATGTTGCACATTGCACCGGCCCTACAGGTCTATCATACTACATGGTTATGATGTTATGTTGCATTCAGCCCACAGATAAAAGCTGTTCTTCAGCCTGTTCATACGACTGGCTATGCTTCTATATCTCCTACCCAACGGTAGGAGAGTAAAGAAGTGCTGACCAGGGTGTGAGTCATCCCTGAGGATTTTCCTCACTTTTCTAAGGTAGTGAATCCTGGCGATTTCATCTAGTGTCAGGAGACAGCCCATGATGCTTTGTGCTGTGCTCATCACTGTCTGTAATGTCTTTCTATCTGCGGCTGTCAAGCCAGCATACCATACTGTAATGCAGTAAGCTTTCTATTGTGGACCGGTAAAAGGAGGTCATCAGTTGTTGTTCCACCTTGTTTTTCCACAAGACCCTGAGGAAGTAGAGTCTCTGTTGGGCCTTCCTGGCCACTTGGATCATGTTGTTTTTCCAGGTGAGATCTTTTATTTATTTTTTATTTTATTTGGTTTGTCAATTGCTTACAAGATAATAGGTATAAGTAAAAACATAGTTATGAATACATGGATACATATAAGAAAAATAAAAGAAACAATAGGACAGGGACAGTAGGCCCTTTGGTGCGCTTATGCACGCCCCCTCTTCACTAAGATGGACTCCCAGGAATTTGAAGGAGGATACTCTCCACACAGCCCCCCTCGATATAAAGTGGGGCAGATTCCTCTCTCTTCTGGAAGTCTAGCACCATCTCCTTTGTCTTGCTGATGTTCAGGTGCAAGTTGTTTTCTGAGCACCATGTAGATAATTTTTGAACCTCCCCCCTCCCTCCATACGTTGATTCGTCTTCACCTGTAATGATGCCCAATATGGTGGCATCATCTGCAAACTTGATAATCACAGTGGATGGGTCAGAAGATAACAGTCGTATGTGTACAATGAGTACCGGTAGGGACTGAGCACACAGCCCTGAGGAGAGCCTGTGCTAAGCTTCAGGGAGGAGGATATGAAAGACCCAGCCCTCTAGGTTTGTGACCGGCCCATCAGAAAGTCCTTAATCCAGTCGCATATGGAAAAGGAAAAATTGAAGTCAGTCAGCTTATTGATGAGGATTGTCAGCAGAATGGTATTGAAGGCCAAACTGTAGTCTATGAAAGCATTCTGACATAGTTTCTGGGTTTCTCTAGATGACTCACTACAGGATGTAAAGCAGTAGCTATGGCATCGTCTGTCAACCTATTCCCCCTGTAGGCAAACTGATATTGGTCAAAATTTGGTGGGAGGCATGACCTAAGGTGTTGAAGAACTTGAAGCACTTTGTCACTACAAACATTAATACGAGTTAATTGCTGTTTTTGGGGGGCCTGGGATGATAGTGGCTGCTTTTAAGCATGATGGAACACTGGCCATTTGCAAGATGTTAAAGATCCTTGTCAGGACCTCTGCTAATTGGTCGGCACAAGTCTTTACCACTTTCCCCAGCACCCCATCTGGACCTGCAGCTTTGCTAGGGTTCACGGCCTTCAATACACCTCTCACTTAGTGTTCATACAAGGTGAGTGGCTGGGAGTTAGAGGGCCAGTGGACAGGGGCTACAAGGTCACGTCTTTTCACCTCATAGCAGGCCAAGAAGGTATTCAAATCCTCTACCAATGAGGCATCAGAGTTGACTGTCTTCCTTGTGTTTCCCTTATAATTGGTCCCTGCCACACTTGCTTCGGGTTGTTGTCTACTATATGGTTCTCCACCTTTTGTTTGTATGTTTGTTTTGCCATCTTAATGCCTCTCCATAGGTTTTCCCTTATTATTACAATTATGAAGAGTCTATAGTTGGGATGCTTAATGTTTAAACAAAATGACTATAAGCTAGGGTCAAACTTTAGGCAGCACCATTAAGTGTTCTCAATTACCATTTATTGTATAGTATACCATCCTCCCCCAATCTATGCTTTCCAGAGATGCCGGAATACAACTCTGCTCACTCCAAACCAGCATGGGCAAATATCCATGGGAAAGACCGCTTTATATTGTGTAACTAATTACCTGCTACCACTACAATGCACATTGACATCTGACATAAACCTCATATTTTTTTAACAGAAACCCATGTCGATTAAGTAAATCAGTAGATTTTAAAGTGTAGATATTTTCTTCAGCCTCCTACAATTGCTCAGTCACAGAACATAAATGTAGTGTAATGACTATGTAGACATTGTCTCCTAG